AAAAGTTCTGCCAATATTTGCTTTTTTGCTTTCGGTTTCGCTTTCGCCATAGCCGTATTCCCTTTGGCCGCATTTGATTCAATTATAAGCGGATAAAAGAAGGCGAATATCTATATGCACATACGTACACACCAGTATTGCCATATTGGCATAATCGCATCAGGACGAGGGAAATCAGGATCTGCTGGTCAAAGCTAATTGAATTGGATTTACCGAGAGGAGAGCCCGAGCCGAGCTTGAGCCCCCTGATTGTCTATTAAAACTGTTTGCCCGGAACGTAATCTTATCAGGTAAACGGAAACTGTCAATATCTCGCTGCATTATACAATAAATAATGTGTATTTAAAGGCGATTCGTCATGCGGCCCGTCTCACCTGTTCGCCTCTTTAAAGGGCTGCCGTCAATTAGCAGATTTACCAGGGCTAAAAAATTATTATAAAACTGTCTACTTAGCGGCAAAATGGCAGGCACTCAAAAACTTTGGCTAAGTGTGAAACAAATTAGCGCCCATTAAAGCGGAAATCACAAAATAAATATATAAGTGTAAAAATAGCTAATGTTTTTTCAATATGCCAGAAAGGCGATCGGCGGATTGTGTAAGCAAAGAGAAAATAGAGGAAGTTGATTGAGTCAATAGTTGGCAATTTATGAAAATAGATTTAAACTTTGAATCCAAAAATCTTAAATAAATAAAAGTATTTTCAGGTCTTCAACTTTCTAATAAGCAAGAAAGTTATAAAATAATATCGTATGCTAGTAAAGTCAGCTATCAGAAATTTTGACAAATTATAAGCCAGCATTACCTGCATTGCTGCCATTGCATTCCACCTTAAAGCCCCGAAAATGTGCTTAAAATGTAGCTGACTTTGGCCCAAAGTTCTTATCAGGTCTTCACCTCGCCCAAAAGCCCCATAGCTCAACTGAAATTGGTTCGAGATAATTTCCCCATTCGGCAATGCAATCAAATGACTCCATGGGCCCGTCGAGGCAATATGGCAACTCATTATTAGCCGGACTTGATGGGCCTTTGCCTTTAACCAGCTCAAGGACATTCGGCCTCATGATGATGACCAAAAGTATTCGACTCGACTGCATATGGTCTTGGAAATTAATGGCTTTCAGCCAGGGCCTGTCCCTATCGAATAATCTTCCGTTTTTGAGTTTGAGGGGAATGCACACACGTGTAGGCGCCACACCAAAAAAAAAAACCGAGCTTATAAGTGGAGATCAAAAATGCATATCGAATTTTGTATACATTTTGTAATTAAGTATTCACAAATTTGTTGAGTTCACCAATTGCCATTACTCTGATTTTTAAGCGATTAAAACGATTTGTTTTGTAAGAAATAATTTTCTGTGCCTTGCACATTATAGAAAATCGCACCCAATTTGGAGTGGACATATGAAATTATCGATACGGCTACAAATATGGGTTAAATATCGTTTATATGAACTTTTTACGGTCTTGTGGGGCTTAAGTGCTTTAATTTCACCGATAAACACGTGCATTGTCTTGGTCTGAAGTCTGAAGTCCGTGAGTGAGTGCAAAAACTGTATTTAAATTTATTTTCAGAGCCGAGCATTCGAGTGCTCAAAGAGCCAACGTCAAGAGTGACGTCACAGTCGAGACTTAAAGTCCGAGACAAAAGCGGTACAACTGAAAACCGGCTTTAGCATAGACTGGAATCGACGACTCTTTGTGCTCACCTGGGAATCACTCTGTTTTGGCTTTATCTCCGCCTTATTCATGCTATACGATTAATCCAGATCACGTGCCCTGTGAGTCCCCCAGTCGATGGTCAAAAGACCAGCCTCCTCAGTTGGTCAGCAGAGTGAATAAGTGTAAAGGTTCGATGGGACATTAACATATAAATATCACTGGCTCTGGCACTTTGTTCCCGGGTATTTTTTTCGCATTTACAAAGGAGCCATCTAACACCCGCCGTTCGCGTTTACTCACGCTTTAAGTTTATCTTTGCGCCGAGTCATGCAAATGAGCACATATTATCCAGTCGGTGCAAATTCTTAACCCGATCATCAGACAGCAAACAGTGCAGCTTCGATACTCGGAACTCTGCCTTATAGATACTCACAATCAGATAGATACATATATATAGATATGTATAAGTTATACACACCCCCAGACGGAATGCAAACACCTGTCCACAGAAATCTCGATGCAATTGTCGCTGGCCATAAAAAAAGATTGCCAAGTTAACTGAAGCAAGGCGAAGTCTTAAGTACTCTTATTAAAAAAATTATAAAATTTATAAGTTATAAATGTTTAAGATTTCTCTAACTTGTCATAGTTACTTTTCCATTAAGCACAATTAATATTGGGCTTGTCAAGATAACGAATTCAGTGAATAATCAAAATTGCAGTCGACTTGCACATTCAAACTGACAATTAAACTCAAAAACCCAGACAAAAAGCAGCAAGTAGCTGTTCGGTCTTACGACTTTGATCTTAAGTCTCGAATACTTTCATAAAAGTAAATAAAGCCCATAAAGTAAATAAAATTCTTAGAATCTGAGAGTCTGGATGCGTGCGGAAACTCTCAATTTGAGAACAAAGTGAATTCAACTGCGTTTCCCTTTGAAAAGCGAACAATCACTGTCTATATATGGGTACTATCAGCTCTTTCGGTCTTATTTGATCAACTGCAAATTGCCTTTTGTGTTCCACTATCAATAAATAATCAAAGACTATCAAAGCCGTGCTTCCTTCCTTAGATAACCGCTTAGGAAAATGGGAGCTCCGCCACTTTGATATTAATTTGAATTTGAATCTAAGTTGATATTTCCCTAGCCCGCTCTATCAACTGACGAGCGAAGCGTTAAAACGAGCGTTAAATTCACACCCCTAAAATGCCGCTAAAAGATCGCTTTCACACTTTAAAATGCCATAGATAATGTCCACAGAGAGATCTAAAGATCGGCCCAAAGTAAATATGAATTAGTCGGGGGCCTTATTGACTCAACGTCACACGCCGTAGATGGATGGATGTTCCGCTCGGATGGGTTTTAGTTTTAGTTAAATGTAAATGTTCGGGGAATGTTGCCATATGATCGATGGCCAGTGGACATTGATCGAGCTCCAAATTGATAAGACTTTGAGCTACGGGGCGGATGTTTGAGTTTGCAGGGGATTAGTTTGCGATAAAATTCTTTGGAGCTAGAAAATAACAGTGCAAATAAAATATTTACAAAATTATTTAATCACTTAGCACTTTAATAAATGTAAAATAAAACAATTCGTGTGTATGTAACCCATAATATCTTTCTGACTTCAGAATTACAGTCTCTCAGAATTATTTAATTAATTATTATGTTCTGAATAAATTAATTTGGATCTTTAAAAGCACTTTAAATACTGGAAATAAATATGCAAAAATCCAGACAAAGACCACAATCTATAATTAAATATTAATAAAGTCATTGCATAATTAAATTCCACAAATCTTCTCGTGACAATCGCCATAATTCACCCCCAGTTGATTCTGTGGCCAAATCAGCAATTAAATGCGCCATCTTTATCGGTAATCATTCATTTCGCATCTTCTGGCATTTTTACGACTCGTTGGCGGGCATCGCAGCTATTAATAAATATATATCTCTGAACGTAAGTAGGGCATGCAAACGCCGCTCAGACCTGGCACCAAAAAAAATTGCCCAGAAGAAAATGCTGTTCTGTTGATTTTTCACAGTCTCCGGTCGCGTGTTCACAAAAAAAATATTCGGTCCGGCTCGTGCGTTCCATAGAATTGTAGTGATGATGAAATGCACTGCTAAAAATAAAGTCATATTGGACTATAAACTATAAAAAAGTTTGTCAAGAACTTTTAAAGTTTTTATAATTATGTAAGAATTTAGGAAATATTATTTTAATCATAAGAATACAAATATTCTAATTTTTAGTTCAAATCTCATAATATTTATAAAACAAATTCATGACTATTTCCAAGAAAACCCCATAAAATACTTGAAATTTTTCCCCTGTGCCAATGACTTTTGGCTAGATGCCTCCAACTTTTTTTTATGACTACTGGGAACCGAAGAGAATTTGCGATGAGCTCATTAAAGTCGATTCTCCGGTCATGTTGTAAGCGGCTGATCGTCCGATTTGTGTACCGACATCGGGGGATAATGCGTAGTTATAAAAAAAGCAGAAACACAGTTACCTATAATCAAGGGGGCTCATGTGATGAGTGGGTGTGGTGATTTAAGGTAATGGTAATTGACTACAAGTATCTATGACGGACTTCTGGACAGTTCCCGCCGGCCGAATAGCTGGATTAATGCCTTATCACCCCCAAACTACCGATAACGAATTTCGATATGTGTGCATAACGGGAGCGTGCCGTTTTTTCAAGTAAATGAAATGGAATTATTTTATTTTCTGAGTCACTGGCGAGCGGGTTTTTGGGTAGTCTCAGCGAAACTGCTGCATCATCTTGGTCCAGCATGTATTTGTATTTGTTTTTAATTTCACAATCAAAACAACAATAATCATTTTAAGAGTTGCCTTATCTCACGGACATATCTCTTGTGCTCTGTCTCGCTCTAGTTCTGATTTAACCTCTCTTTCTCTCTCTCCTTTTTTGCAGCTGGCGCCCAACGCTGGGAATTTCATCAGCTGTTGTTGTTTATTTTGCAGCGGCAGCAACAGCAGTCGGCCTAATAAAAATGCAATTTTTATGGTTAAGAAAATAGAGCGCGGCCGCCGTCGTGCATTGTGCATTGCAGATTGGAAATTGTGCAGAAGCCAGAAGAAAATGTGTCTTGGAAAATGGAAAAGTCCGCGGGGCAACAGCAGCAATAACATTGAGCAAGTGATGTAATACAGAGCAAAAGTGAAGCGGCAATTGGCATTGCAAAAAAGAAACAGATTATACAATTTGTTGTGTTGCTGCTGGAGTGAACTAGGACAACAGCAAACAACAGCAATTGCAGCAGCAACACTTGAAGCGGCAGCAGCAACAACAGCAATACTTGCAGCAACAACTACTGATAAAGACCGGCTAGCAACAGCAACAGCAACACCAACAAAGAGAAGCGACCACTTGCAGCAACATAAATTCAAAGTCGGAGCGTGGGAATCGCAAATCACGACGGCAGCAACAGCAGCAACAGCAACAATCATCGCAGCACGGCAGCAACATCGTCGCTCTCGTCGCTCTCCCTGCTGCTCTTTTCGCTCGCCGTTCTCCCGCTGGCGTTGCTCCGTCTCCCTCGCACCGGGGAACACCCTCTCGCTCGCACTCCCTCCCAGGCGGTCGCGTATATTTGGAGGCGTTGCGGCGACCGCTCACGACAGTTGTGCTTGGAACGCTTCGGAGTGAAGATCGTGCTCGTCCGATCGGTGCGCGTGAATAAATACACGGCAAAAAAAAAATAAACCCCAAAACAATTGACACAAGTCACGAAAAATATAGACAAGTGAAAAAAAAAAGTTCAGAGCAAAAAGAAATTGTTTTTTATACCACAAATCTCGCACGTAAATTAGCAAGCGTTCGCAAGAAACAAACCAAAACACACATAATAATACAAAAAACGATATTAAAAAATTGTTGGCTGAGACGAGAGAAACAGCGGATATTCCGAGTGAAATTTGTGTCATAAGCAAAGCCAAAACAAAACAAAAAGCCAAGAGCCCAAAGCCGAAAAAGTAGTGGCCATAAAGTGACTGTGAAACTGTAAAGTGATGTGTGGTAATCGAAAAACAGCATAAAGAATGGCCATAGACCTCCTGATTTTGGCCCTGCTGCTCGTCTCGTTCCTGATCAACCTGCTGGCGCTGTGTGCCTTCTGGATAACGCCGGGCTTAAGGACCACCGCCAATCGGTTCACGATCAACCTGCTGGCCATCAACCTCATTGGCTGCTGCATCTTGGCACCCACCCTTTTTCTGGGGCTGCCTGGCAAGTCTACGGAGAGATCTACGGCCGGAGAGACCCTGGAAATCTTCTCTAAGCCCGGCAATCATCAGATCATCTTCCGTCGCAATGGGCAGCTGGTGGAGCGAGATGGCGTGGTGTCCAGCAAGAATGCGAGTGAGAATGGAGAAGTGGTGGAGTCCTTCCTCAAGTGCAATGCCACCTACTGCCGCGAGTTGACTATTGACGAGCGGGGAGATGGAGGATTTGTTATCACGGAGACGGAGACCCACGAGGAGAATCTCTCGCTACCCACGGAGGCTCCTCTGCAGCCGCCGGTGCAGCTAAGATGTTGGTCCATCGATATGACTGCCGCCCTGGGAGCTCTGGCTGTTTTACTAGTGGTAGGAGACACCTGGTGTGCCGTCACGGATCCCCTGCGCTACCACAGTCGCATTTCGGGCGTGAAAACCTGGATCTTCATAGCCCTCACCTGGGTGGTGGGCATACTCTTTGGCGCCCTTTCCGCCTTCCGAGTCCTCGACTTCGATGCCGATGCCTTGTTTAGCCGGCAACGCAGGCTGGCCGTCAACTACTTCAACATTGGCAGCACAAACAGTATTTTCGGGGTGATCTACGCCAGTGTGTACTTCATAGTGATCATCCTGCTGCCCTTCGGCTTTGTGTGCGGCATGTACTGGAGGATCTTCAGTGAGGCGCGGGGCAATGGGCTGCGCATGCGCCAGAATGGCTCATCTCCGCTGCTCCAGAGCGCCTTTGAATCTAACGGCTGGCCAGCAGGCGGCTCAGGCGAATCAGTTCTCGAACAGCCTGTGTGTCCACAGGCACTCCATTTCCTCGGCCAGTTCGCATGGCGGAAATAGCAGTCTGGGCCTGGGAATCGGTGGTCTGCAGATGCAAATCGATCAGAGATCGCAGCCGAGGAGTTCACCCAGCTGTCTACGCAGGGATTCGGCGGCCAAGGTCCTGCTGCCCACCATTTCCGATGATGGTGGCTCGGATGCGGAGAGTGGAGCTGGTGTGCAACTGATGACGGTGCAGGAACACTCCCTCTCTGACAGGAATCAGAATATCATGCTGACCCTGCAAACGGCCAGTGGTGAGATCAAGAGGAACTATTCCGCCAGGCAGCTGCCTCTCCTGGGAACCTCTTCGCAGGATTTGAGGGAAGCCCATCGCCTGCAGGGCATTCGCCAGGTGCACAGCTCACCGAATCTGCACAAGTACACCGAACTGCGGCAGGATTCGCTGAGCGAGGAGTGCGGATCGCCGCATCTTTTGGGCCACGCCCAGCGGCAGCAGCAGCAGCAATCGCAGCAGTTGCACCTGCAACACCAGCAGCAGCAGCAACATCACCACCAGCAACATCACCCGCACTTCAGTTCGCCGCGTCACCAGCAGCACGGCCACGCCCTCCAAATACCCGCCATCCACGCCTCCCCCAAGGCCCTGAGTTACATGAGCTCCCTGCGACATCGTCTGAGCAACGCCAGTTCGCTTTTCAAGTACAGGGAGGAGTCGAGAGCTGCTAGGATCAGCATCTTGGTGGTGGTGATGTTTGTGGTCTCGTATCTGCCTTTTGGCCTGCTGGTGCTCCTGCAATCGCGACTGTCGGCCGCCAACTTTGGTGGATCCTCGCAGCTGGCCATCTTCATGATCCTGCTGGCCAACCTGAGTTCGCCCTTCATCTTTGCCTACCGCAACAAGAGGGTGAGGCGTGGGGTGAAGCGTTTGTTTGGCCTGGAATCCTCGGCGGGACTACAGCGTCACTGCAGCAGCAGTGTGAAGACCAATGGCACCGCAGGGTCCTGGAGGAGCTGCTGCATCGGGAGCACAGTTGCAGCGCAACAGCAGCAAGTTGTCGCAGTACAGCAGCAATAGTTGCAGGTACTTGACCCCACAGACCTCGCTGGTCAGTCAGGTGCCAGTGCACACGACCTTGACCCTGCGGCCCAACAGCAGTTGCAGCACCATCATTAATTTTGGGGGAGCTAGGGGCTCTGCCGAATCCGATGAGCCACCACCGGCCACACCACCCCCTGCGCTGACTGCACCACCCCCGGCACCGCCCACTCGCCCCCAGCGACCGAAACTGCAAAGGGGCATCACCATCGTGGAGCACATTGCTATAACACCAACCACGCCCCAGAAGTTCCAGAATCGCGGGGCCAGACTCTTCGACATGTTCTTCCGCAGCTCCAAGAAACTGCAGGCGGGCTGCCAGAGCCAGAGTTTGCCCACAGAAGTCTAAAACACAAGGGGTTCTTAGCTATATTTAATATACATGATACATTGTAGATCTTAGACAAACACTAAACTCGCGCTTGCTGAAGAATTCTAAAAACAGTATTCGTAATTTGTAAGTTTAGCAATTAGCAGAGACAACTGTTTGAATCATGCTGTCCTAGAAGCTTCTCATGCCAAAAAAACACAAAAAACAAACACAAAGAAAGTCAAACTTGAGAGTTTGAGATGCTTTACAAAGTAGTATAACACGTAAAAAAAACAAAGTACCTTTAAACAAATATAAAAACAAAAAACTGTGTACAAGTCAAATTAACAGAAAGAGAGAAAGAAACAGGAGTTATAATCTTAGGGTGGATATCAAACTGAAAAGAGGAACCAAGCCAAGCCAAGTCGAGATCGTAATCAATGTACCTAAGCAACAAGCATATGAACATTTAATGTTTTTACTCAACACTGAAAGAAACCACAAGTAACAAATTACAAATAGCAAAAGAATTATCAAAGACAGCACAGTTTTTTCTCGCTCCCTACCACTAATTTATTATTTATTATAACAACGATTGTAAATATTTATTAGACATCCACACATCGCAAAGCTTTAACTCCAAACAACATTCTGGCTAAAGAAAACAAGAAGAGACGCAAACATTCAATTCATAAGTTAATTAAGTCAATGTGCAAAGCATATGTGTATTGTAGCGTTTAAGTTCGTAGAGCCGAGTAGTCTTAGACCGAGCACCTAGTGCCGAGCAGTGCTTTTTCTATATATTATATTGTATCGAACTTCTAGCTAATGGGACCGACTAGCTTTGCAGGCGGCATTTTCATATTGAAAATGCCTTTTGGCCGGTGCAAAGTTAGTTTTCCCAGCTGGCCAGAGTGTCAGTCAGTCAGCAGTTAGTTTGGCCAGCGGGCCATTAAGTCAATTTGCTTTTTCTAGAACTCCGCGGGCATTGCGTGCAGCTAAATACCTCATTAGATTTAATTTAAAGTGCGAGATGGACAGCGGCAATAGGTCAAAGGTCGGAGTCATCGAATCGGCCCATTCATAATGCATTATGAATAATGCATGGGATAATGGGAATGGGATCGATTGGCCCTGGCATTTGTATCTCCAGGCCAGAAAGCTTTATACCCTAAGTTCTCCCGCCTTCGATTTCCCTCAGCTGCACACAAAATCCAACAAAAAACGAAAAAGATACAACACACACAACACTAAACACTAAACAACCTCGAATTTATATTTCTAAAGTTTATATTTTATATAGAGTGTGTGCATAGGAAATATCTATAAATATTCATGCATGTGTGTCGGACAAAGAAAATATTTCAAAACCAATTATTGTGATGTTGAGCAAGGGGGCAACCAAGAATGTAATTTCGAAATCCATTGAAAATAACTTAAAACATGTATTAATAGTTATACTATATACAAGCTTATGTGTGTGTGTCTGTATACATACCTTTACTAAATAGTGATATTTTTTCAAATTTATTCAACTGTCATTCGATAAACCATTCGATGTAAGCAAAAAGCAAATGTAAAACGAAACAAAAGTTCAATGTGACAAATTAGCTTTTAATCCGAAAAGAAAATGAATTAATGCAAGTCTAATCCGGTATTTTCCAGCCAAGCTGCTAATAAATTAAAACAAAAACGAAAAAATGAAATTGAAACACAGCAAACCATACCAAACCACAAAAAGAGCAAGAAACTATTCAAATAAAAGATTATGTGTCTTAAAAGAATTAATTATCATGACTTTTTCACTGGGGGCAGTTCAATTGGGGGCTTCAAAAGCGGTTCAAACTTACCCACGCAGATCTGTCTTCTGGCTTTAGATCTGCAGACCCCGAGAGGTTGGCACCAAGAGTTCTGAGCTCTATGGCATTTCTCCCACCAATTAAAGCAGATACCCACAGCGATTCGAATGAACTTATCGATCCAACCTGCTGTCAACTTCGCCGACAAGAGCTCTAGAACACGAACAAACACTTAACCATTTCATTCAGCATTTCAGCATTCACATTCACCCGTGCCCGTATTAATTGATTCATAAACCGAAAAGAAACAGCACAATAAATATTTAATTCTTTATTTTTTCTCATTTCGGTCTGATTGTGGCAAACGCGTGTTTCATTTCAAAATGAAAGCGAGTGGTACACGGAAAAAAAATGACTTTTAGTTATAATTGAATATGGTGTAAAAATGGAAAAAATATAATAAATTATTTGTTGCCTCACTGGGTATTGAACTCTAACTTCTGGACTAAAATAGTTGAGAAGCACCGAGAAGGGTCCATTAGTTGGATTGATGAGCAGCGCGTAGAAGAGCCATCAAATCACACTGTTACATTTTCATAAATAATATACTTAAAATATTTATGAAATATAAATAATTTAAATAAATCCAAATATTTAACAGAGTTTTTCTCTATGTACCCATTCCGTAAGTCGAACAACCCATTTGATTGTCACATTTAAAGGAAAGGGGAAAGCAAGTGGGGAGGTGTCACGATGTCTTCTGTATATGGGAGTCGGTGATTGGTACGAGTACGGGTTTGCTACTTAGAACCCGACCACGGAGATCAAACAAACACACTTGGTCAAACCAATCGAAATTGTTGGGCATTAGGGGATTAGAGGAGGGCCTACATGGGCGGTGCAGTGACTAATCGTTTGGCAACGGTCTCAACGAAATATCAAAGAGCCATGCCATGGCTTACCTCAACACCTGACTCACTCACCCCGCTGACGCCCTGGGCAAGTCCAAGTCAAGAAACGTGATAAGTACGACTGATATTCCATATAGGCACGCTAATTTTTGCAGCAATGCGGTGACAACGGAACGTCTCTGTTTGGTCTTTCAACAGAAAAATGCGGCACATAAACAAAATCAAAACCGAAGCAGTAGGTATTCGGAACGAAAGGCAGAAGGCAGAGACCAATCTCTCGGACACCCCCAGTGCAAAGTATCTAGCGGATGCGTTGCTGTCCCTCAACAAATCGGTCACCGAGAGCGTCGCACTTATTTATTTATTTTATGATTCACTGCGCGTCTCGCTCTATGGTGCGTTTAATATGCCTTCGGTGAGGCCTCTGACATTTCTACCCATCACTCTGCGTAAAAAAGACTTCTCTTGTTCGCCAATTGTGGTCTGAAAATAGAATTTCCAGTTTCGAGCATGACAGGCGGTGTATTAGCTTTTTTTAATTAGGTACACGGTCTTTTTTGTGTGAAACATGAAACCTGAAACGTTTACACGAGCATGAACAAAAAGCAACAAACTAGTCGCCTAACTAAAATAATTGAGAAGCGCCGAGAAGGGCCCTTGACTTGGATTTATGAGAAGCGCGTAGAAGAGCCATCGAAACCCTCAAACGCAGCAAAACACCAACGCTCAGTGGCAATACATGTAATTAAAGGCAAAGCTCTACAAAATAGAATTGCATAAATTAAAAAACACTTTTCAATATGTGTGCTAAAAATAAGTCCCTCGTAAAATCAACTAATATCTTCCGATTTGGCTGAGCCCGGCAAACATTACCCAAAATGTCAACCTGCTTCCGTGGTGTGAGGCCATAAAAGTATTAATTTGAATAGCTGCATAATTAAATAAAACTTAAACAACATTAAAAAACCATTTTTGTAAACCCGCTGAGTAACGAGACGCAGAGGAAAAGAATGCCAAATGTCATTAGAACAGATTTTTGGCAGTTGGCACAGAGGCACAGATTTCGATATATTTTCTTGTTTCTTCTAACCGAACGAGAAACGAATAAATTGGATTTAAATGCTAAAAACTGTCGAAAGTCAGGTGAGGAGCACAGAAGAGCGTGTGGGTGGACAAGCTGCTGTCATCTTAAGCAAATTTGTCGATTAGGCAAGAGGAAATAAACTTTTCGGCTGCGACACATTGTGTTTTTGTATCCCCAGTCGATCCACCAGATATGACACATTGGTGCGGCATATGATGTCAAAGAGCGAAAAACTAACGAGCTGAACTGAGAACTGAGATAATCTAAACGCCGTGGTGTCAACGAACCTCACGGAAGTCTGGGCTTAATCTATCATAGGTGCTCGCCCAGAATTAAATATCAATACGCCCATAAATCTAAACGATTTTGGATTTATCCAATTTGCATTTGAACTTGAATCATCCGAGTGCAATGACTCTCGGCTGCACACCCTTGAGAGCGCAGAGAGGGTAGAAAAATCAACACGGGTATCTCTGATTTTGAGATACGGCTGTGGATTTATGTTATGTTCAATATTTTTTGGGAATCGCCGTTTTCCGCGTGTATTCGCAACAGCTGCAGTCTGAGTGCTTTGTTTTTCACAAAACTACTGCTGCTCGAATTCAATCTGCAGACTTAGTGGAAAGTCAGGCCATGTTACTCGTATAATATGCAAATATACGACAGGCCTTATCAGCCTGTTTTCGTTATCGCTGATGGGCCACTAGAACATCTAACAGCATAATCAAAATGATTTAATATATTTGCTTGTGCACAGAGTAACAGAAACACACGCGAGTTCTGTTCTTTCTCGAATTTCCAGCAGTGAGTTTAAAAGTAGAGTCAAGTTTTTGGGCCAGAGTCTCTAGAACTGTGCCTTTCTCACGCAGCTTACACTGGCTTTATCTTCTATCTCCTATATATATCTTATATATATTTTCTGGCCGGGATTTGTTTGGGGAAATGGGCCCATAAATATGCCGTCGGGCTGGCTGTCTCTGTTTTTGCCTCCGACTTATCGCTGACAGTTAACCCGCTCGCAAGTCGCAACTCTCGACTCTCCACGATTCACTGATTCGCAGTCCCTCTGTCCCGGTGACGTCACAATGGCAATAGAAGCATATGTAGGCACATCGAATGTAGTATAGCCCACCCAGTGCCCCCCCGGAATATTTGAACTTGTATAGAGCCGAGGCCAAGGGATGTGTTATTGTGGCCCGTCAACATTCAGCCAAGTTCTCAACACAGATTCATGGAATATTCCATGACACGATTCAAATATTGTCGCACAGCAAGCAGAAATCTTGGAGCTGGGGGCTTGAATCTGTCCTCCCCGTAGTTGTTTGTAAGTTTCATATTTTTTACTCCAGCTTATCAGGCGCCTCTTCACTTGGCAGACCTTCTTCGAAAAGGAAAGCGAAACAAATTCAAATTAATTTCCACACCTTACCAATATTTTTGGTACCTCTTCGCCATTAGCATATAAATTATTTTTAGTTCTGTTTTGGCACGTGCAACTAAGTACTGTGAAATAAATGGCCAAGTGCATTTCTGGGCGGGCTGACAAAAATGAATTTATTAGTGA